TAGATACAAGATGGAGAGTGGAGACAAGATGGAGGATGGAGACAAGGTGGAGGGCGGGGACAAAGTGGAGGGCGGGGACAAGGTGGAGAGTGGACAAAATATGGAGGTGAGGAATAGAGGGAAGATGGAAGCAAGATGGAAGATGGAGACAAGATGGAGGGTATAGACAAGATGGAGAATGAAGACAAGATGGCGAGTGGAGAGAAAACAGAGAGTGTACAAGAGGCAAGATGGAAGATGGAAGAAAATGCCTGTCTATCTGCTTCTCTTAAGACCGTTGTGAGTGCCGCGGTGTCTGTTTCATCTCACGGTGACCCTGCATAGTTTCTGAGGCTTTTAAATCTTTTTTGGGAGCAGAAATCCTCATCTTTCTACTACAGAGCAACTGGTGGACTTGAACCACCGAACTTTGGTTCACAGTGCACTGCTTATCCTATGGAGAGCAGTTCTAGTTTGTAACAAATGGAGTCTCCTTCAGTCAGAATAGACTCAACAAATTTGACCACTATGTAGTGTTAGAAATGTACCATCTGCATCAACTTTGCAAATGTAACCTGTTGTCCTTTGTTAATTCTAGACATCAGAATCTAGACATCTAGACATCAATTTAGACATCTCATGTTCAACATTCAAGAATGGTATAATTTTACTAATTGCGACTGTCACAATTGTAAAGGTAGAAGTTTTGTAACAAAAACAAGTCCAGAAACATCAAGAGAGAAGCGCACAAATAGAATGCGGGACCTTATCCAGAGAAGCAGCAGCGCCAGAGAAGGAGGCAGAGATGGGGGCATGGAGACGGGGGGAGCGGCTGAGGACTCTAGATTCATCAACTAAGAAGAGAAGGACTAAGAACTGGTGGCCAGGAGCAGACTTGCAGAATGTGCCCTTTGGAGATGTAAATTATTATATATGCCTGAGTGGGTTTTTTGTTTAGTTGTTTGTTTTTAAAAAGGTAAAGTGGATAAAGAGAAATACTGTTAACTGATGGTACATGGAGGGGATTATAATCAATGTAATGAAATAAGGTGTATGATTTGTTGAATGTAAAACTGATGATATACCCTGTAAACTTTCACTCAATCCACAATAAAAACCTTTAAAAAAAAGAAAGAAAGAAAGAAAGAAAGAAAGGTATAATTTTAGTTATGGGAACCAGATATGATCTATTGAGGATGACAGGAATTGTCATGATCTCAAACGTGAGGGGTGTGGCATTTGCGTCGGAAGATCTGATGGCATGATTTCCAGTGTTCATATCTCAAATGTTTAGAGTTGACATTCTGCTACTGTCTCTCAAAGCCATAGAAAGATGGTTCCTAAGGATATTGTAAACAGGTCATTAAATAAACAGCCATGGTTGTGACGGCCTTGGGTGTGGAAAGTCTGCTGAAGATACAGTCTCAACAGTCAACGAAAAAGATGAACGACGCTCACATATCTTTGAAAGGATATATACTGTGTATGAAATTGTTATCTTTAGTATGGGATGTTGTGCGGCATCATGGATCAACTGTCACTCATGGTGCCTCCATGTGTGTCAGAGTAGAACTGTGCTCCACAGGGTTCTCAGTGGATGATTTTTCTTAAATAGATTCCACTCATGGTGCCCCCGTGTGTGTCAGAGTAGAACTGTGCCCCACAGGGTTCTCAGTGGATGATTTTTCTTAAGTAGATCCCACTCATGGTGCCCCCGTGTGTGTCAGAGTAGAACTGTGCCCCACAGGGTTCTCAGTGGATAATGTTTCATAAGTAGATCCCACTCATAGTGCCCCATGTGTGTCAGAGTAGAAAGGTGCCCTACAGGGTTCTCAGTGGATGATTTTTCATAAGTAGATCCCACTCATGGTGCCCCCGTGTGTGTCAGAGTAGAACTGTGTTCACAGGGTTCTTAGTGGATGATTTTTCATAAGTAGATCCCACTCATGGTGCCCCCGTGTGTGTCAGAGTAGAACTGTGCTCCACAGGGTCCTCAGTGGATGATTTCTCATAAGTAGATTCTACTCTTGGTGTACCCGTGAGTATCAGAGTAGAACTGTGCTCACAGGGTTCTCAGTGGATGATTTTTCATAAGTAGAT